AGACCTCAACAGAAATTGTCTACAGCAGTACAAATTTATTTTCATGAGAATTAATTTTTTTATGAAAATGACCCATTTGATTTAATGTCTTGTTTGGTGTCCTTAAAATTGCTTATATCTTTGAAGCTTGAAAAATCAGCAAATATCCTCAGATCTAATGAAAACAACTTTCATCGCAAATAATTAAGCTAAAAAGGTTTCTCTGCAGTTTGCAAATGGTTCGCAATACGTTTTGTAACTTAAATTTACTCAATCAATGGCCATTTTTGAGTCCTGGAGCAAATTATAATTTTTTAAAGAACTTAGAATGCCGTGATCAATGCTATATACTTCACAACATATGAACCAGCTGTGTAATAAATTGCCTGTTAACATTATACTACAGAAATGTATTAAATTATTGTACCACTACAGGAAGGAATATTCTCATCCCATACATGTGTTTGGTTATATTCAATTTAACGCCTGATTCCCTCAACTACATACTTATATACTGTACTTGATGCAATTATGCAGTTTAAGCCTGAAATGCATTGTGAAAGATATACAGTACAGTAATTTGTGTTTAGTGATTTAGATTTTCTGGTGAATACTTTTATAATGATTTTGATCAAATAATCAGTCAAATTATGTCCACATTTTCCCTATGGCATCGAAGAGCAATGGAATATGCAATTAAAAAATGTATGTGACGAATTTCATTATTAAACTCAAATTAAATTACTGTAATATTAAATTCTTTCAAATTTTTGGCTAATTGTTCAAAAGAAAAGACGATTTTTATTAATTGCATTATTTCACGGAAGAAAGCTATGTTTACATTTATGACAATTCATACACACGCATAATGTATTCCACTGTTTTTTAGACTTTGATGTGGACTGTGATTATTCTCAGTTGAAATTCTGTCAATTTCAATGCGTAATACTGTAGTCAATTCGGAAATTGATCACTATTTAATCTACTGATTATTCTCAGTTGGTAAAGAGTGAGAGTTTGAATCACATGTAAATTGAATGCTCAATTTAAAGTGATTCATTTCTTGAATGAAGTTCATTGTTTTCAAGTAAAAATGTTCATTAATGTGACTGCTGGTTATTCTCCGTTAGCAAGTTTGAATCAAATTTAAACTGAATTCTTGATCGAAAATAACAATTTATTTTTTTGAATGGCATAGTGTTTTCCAGTGTGGTATAAAATTTACGCTAATATTCTGTAACCTGTAACTGCTTTTGTCCATTTAAAAATTGCACAATTGAAAAAACAAATCTGCCAGCAATTTCAATGCGTATAATATTCGATTTGGAAGTACAGTAGATTACAGTTTTTTTATTGATCGCAAAATTCTGTGACGATCTAAAAGTTGCATACAGTACTATATACTATATACAGTAGAATTTCATTACGAAGAATCTCGTTATGAAATTTTCATTTTATCAAAGTTTGAATTGGTCCCAGCAGTATCCCATAGGTGTAATTTTATAAATTCTCATTACAACAAACTAATTTTAAGCTGTACTCCCATTATGAATGAATGAATGAACAAAATGAATGAACAGAACACTTTATTTGCCGCTTTTCAGCATTCACAAGGTTCAATCAAGATTTCCACAACCAAACCCCCTTCCCACCCAACCCAAATCCACTCAAAGACATTTTAATCACTTCAGAGCAGGAAAGCACAAATTGATGACAAAAATAAAAGAAAATACAATACAACATGAAATACAACTGGACATCTGACATGTATGCATACACCCATTCATTCCCTGACATCGGTAACAAAATATATGTAAAACTACTCCCATATAATGAACTACTCCCATATATGTACTCCCATTGTAATGAATTTTTGTCCATCATTCTGTGTAAAGGCAATGGGGTTTGTTTGATACGTATGTCTGGAAACCAAAGAAATAAAAAGGTGCAGCATTCCAGCTTCATCAAAGAGGAAACATTTCTGCCAAGGAAACTTGCTGTTCAAAAAATA